GCCACAATAAGGTCTCTCTGGAGCCTTCCCTTCTTCCAACTATTAATTTATTCTAGACATCTAGTCACTCCTTTACATTGTGCAGGCCCTTCCAATAACAGGATAAATTTGCCAATGTGAAATCTGCAGGACTGTACTTAGAGGACAAATAGTACATAGTTTTCTTAGCCCCCATTGTGGTACATCCTTTTTCCAAGTTTGCATGGATGAACACATCCATCACTTTGCAAAAGAAGTTCCTGAACTGCTCTCAGAAGCTCTTTTCCTCAGCAACAAAATGTACCCATCTGTCTTCTCTGCTGTGAGCCCCAGGGTCTGGGCACAGGCTTGTTATTCCAGAGCAGTAACTGGTAAACTGCCATGGGGTTATTGCCATGGCATAAAAGCTCTAAGAGCAAAAACTGGTATTATCTTTTAAGTATGTAATTTTTCTTTACAGGCAGCCATCTGCAGTGCAGTGGGTTATGGGGTGATATTCTGTCTCATTTCATGCAAGACATCAGATTTTGCATTTGAATCATGCATTCCTTATTTCAGGCATTTATTCTAGCCTGTGCTTTCCCTAGATGTGCTTGTGGAAAGCTAGACTAGTGACTGCTATGAGCCCTGTGATTATAAAGAAAAATTAGTTAAGCAAGAGTCAGTAAACATCTTTGCTCTTGAATGCAGCGGGAGGCCCAACAACTTCTTTCAGCTGAAGCTGGCTCTGACTCCAGGCAAATCCATTCTATGAACAAACAGCAAGTCAGTAAAGCATTAAAAGTCAGAAGCATCAAAAACCACTCAGGACAACGGGACTGTCAGGCCAACATTTCCTTGAGTCTGACACATGGAGCCCTGAGATCCTCACTGGCATGGCAGTCATTCACAATATTTTTGTTTGTATAATGTTGCAGAACAGTTAAAAAACACCTGAAAGCTGTTCAGAGAATAGCAAAACCTAAAGATTTGTGGCTTGTAAATAAAGTATATAGAATGTTTTGCCATAAGTTACAGTCTGTTTACAGACAGAGTGAAATATTCATCATTAACAGACAGAAAATATTGGAAGATGTCTCAAAATTATTTTCTTGTTTAAAACTCCCAATGTGCTCTGTGTCATGTATTTTAGCAGAATGATTTTAATGAGAAAACACATTGTTTCTTTAAAGTGAAACATTTCTTGATCAATACTCCACAACATTGATAGAATTTAAAAAAAAAGGATTTTCTAATAGGAGAATTCAGAGACCTTTTATGCAGCACCCCAAACCATCCTGACTTGGTTATGATGGCAGGTAGGGCATTGGCATGTTCTTAGCTTTAGATTAGATAGTTTAGACACAGCTTGAGTAGCTTTGGGACAAACTGTTTCACTCTCTTGTGCTTAAAGCTGGATTTTCACTATTCCTATTTATATTCTTCTATGACTGTGATATGAAGGCAAGAATTTTCCCCTATGCAGTGCTCGGTCAAGTGCGTTTGAGGCTGTCTCCAGTTCTCATTCAGTCAGTGGCTTTAGGAGCCTGGTGTCATGCTCTCGGACTTAGCTTTTCATTAGAGCTCCCTTTGATGCAAGCCTGAGAGGGCACTGACAAGCTTGCTTAAAGCTAGAGATGAAATTCCCTCAGTGCAGTCTCTTTTACAGTCTGTGAGCTCTAACCCTGCTGTACTTTTAACTGGTAGATAACCCGGTGGCTGGGACATGCAAGAGAAGCTTCAGCTCCGCTTCACTCGCTTTGGGTACCAACACTGGCTTTGGGAGCCAGCTCTGGAGGTACAAAGGATGTGCAAAATACCTGTCAGCTGTACTGACTGCATCCCCAGCACAGAGATAAATTCTGCCCTGGGTTTTGGTGCCAAGGAGTCATAGGAAGTACAGTGTAGAGAAAATTTCAGCTCCCAAGATCAGGGCCGGATTCACTGACAGTATCAACCCAGCATACCTAACTCTGCAGGACCAGAGCATCCTCACCAGCATGTTGAGCATCAGAAAATCCCAGTGGAGTCAGACAGACACATAATGTTGACAGGCTGGGCCTACTGCATGATAATGGGAAATGAAGGGAAAAGAAATGACTAAGCATAGCTTACTTACAAAGCAAAGTATGGAAGATGAACATTTCTATGAAAGATGCATACTTACATTTATATATAGAATTTGTAGGTATACAGTTGATATATATAAATCTATGTGTGTTTATGTGTACATTTACCCTGTGCAGCTAAATGTTAGTAACATCAATAGTAAAAATCATTATTGCATTAAAAAAGTCCCAACAGAAGCCCTTCTCTGGCTGCTGTGAGACAGAAATGGCTGATCTCCTGCTGGGTTTGCACAGCCTAAATATAGCTCAAAAGATGTTTCTGACACACTTGTCTCTCCTTTTTGGTTGTCAAATGTAGTCTGAGTAAAAGTACCCTGAAGAAAAGGGTTTCTGTGCTCTCAACATGCAGTCCTATTTCCTGTGAAATAAATGGGAAAGCAGCCTTGAAGAATGTGAGTCATCGGATCTGTCAACCCGAAACCACTAAGCAGAGATACGGCAGATGGAGATGTAAATGCAATTGAGGCAAAAGAGACATTTAAAAATGAGGACTTATCTCAAGTTCTTTGTCTTTAGTCATTCAGTTTAGGTAAGTCTCTTTTGGTGGGTAGGACATGAAAATTTTCCTTTCAGTTCAGCAAGGCAGTGTTTGCTACATGCATCAGATATTTACCCCACATCACCCAAGATGCATTTGCTGCATTTGCTCTCTGCTTTTTTGGTCGATGAAACACCGTGTCTGGGCCACCATCCTGCCCTTAGCAAGTAGTTACCGTGTTAGCATTCAGAGCTGAGTGCCCGATTTCTTCAGCAGTGCAAATGCTCCTGTAACAGATGAGTGGGTGTTCTGTGAGTTTAACTTGTCCCAGGGATGAGGAAAACCTTATGGTTTCCTTTCTTTCTTTAAGTCAGTCCAGTCAAACATGATATTGATTTCTACAAGGGCAGCAACAGACCCTAAATCAATAGAAATAAGCAACCAGCAGTATCACAGACAATGACAGTGACTTGAGTCCTGCTCTTGAATTAATAGAGAACATGAGCACTTTAGGAGGCAACTCTTCTGCTTTCATCAGGTCATCATGCTTGAGAACCCAGCTCTGCATTTTCTGCATAATGACTTTCCCTCCAATTATTGCATGTTGCTATTTTCAACATACGTTTCAACTTGAACATTTTCAAGTTCAGATCCTTAGTTTTGGGACAGTCTGCTTTTCCTGACATGGGTATGTAAATATATTGGTATGCCACTTCGGCTACAGACCCATATGGTTGATGTAGTGCCTAATGATGCCAAGTGGATAGTGAAAAGGCAACCTCAAGGATTCCCCTATTCATTTGTAACATTGTCAGCTGAGTTGCTGCAACCAGGAAGAAATCCACCACATTGCCTTTGGCAATTCAAAGTACAGTGGTATAAGGGAGTTATATAGCTTTAAAACTGGCCTCCAGGTCCTATTCTTTGCCTTTTTTAAGAATTTAATGACTGTTGTATGGCAATCTTCCATGTTTTCTCTAAATATTTATTGGTGTTTAACTAAAGTCCTGAACTATAATGGTTTTGTCTAAAAATTTAATTCTAATTACAGTATTCATCTAAATGAATAGGATGTAGTGGGGCATTTTACTCACCTCCAAACTCCATGCCATTGCTTTCAGGTGACTCTGAGTGACTGGCAATAACCCATCAGGCAGCAGAGACCTTGCCTGAAGTCCCACCACAGGTGATGCTCCACTCCTTGGCTGTGGTAGCTTCCTCCTGTACCTTGGGTAGAATGAGACCCTGACTATGCAGGTGCAGCTTTGTTATTTAAAAAGTCACACCAGTGACTTTTCCCAGGGCAGAAGGGAGACAAGCTAGCAGGAGCCACTGCAGTCATCATCTCCCAGCTGCCCTGGACCGAACTCCATTAGCTCCATGCTGCACTGCTCCACCACCTCAGGGTGTTACCACCAGGTCCTCCAGCTGTGCCTCACTCCCCTTCCCTGTCTGCAGCACACATCCTGTGCCGTGCTGCTGTTTTGGTATTGGGCTGTTCAGGCCAAAAAGGCTGGGCACAACTGATGTAAGGCGGAATGGTGGCTTTACATGATGTGAATCACATGTCCCGCATACTGCTTATCATAAAATCCCAATTGCGTATAACTAAGTGTGATGGACAGAAATTTGTTTGGATAGGCTGGTTGAGCCCTGCTATCACTTCCCTGATAAACCAGGACTGATGTTTTAAACGAAGTGTTTTCCTGCCACATAAGGGAAAAGGTTGATAAGCAGCAGATCCTGTGGAGGAGGGGCAATGCTTTTTATCATGCCAATTTCCCCTCTACCATAAGGCTGACAGTGTAAAACTCCCTCCCAGGGGAGATAATCAGGGGCATTCACACGCCAGCCTGAAAGTATTCCTCCCTAAGGAAGGAGGCACAACAGGAACAGTTAAAAGAAGGGTCAAAGAGTGGCCATGTAATTAGACAAGGCCACAAACCATCAAAGATCCCTGAAGAAAACCCCTCCCCTGGGGAATTACTGGGGCATTCCCACATGAGCCTGAAAGTATACAAACCATCAAACTCTCTGTTGTGTGGGTCCTGACCCCAAAGGATCGAGACTGCCCTAATGACTCTGACACAGACATCAAAATTGCACTGATCAGGTCTCCTTGCTGGATCCATGGGTGGTGACATCTTTCCTCTTCACTATCTATTCTTGTTCTTTCCTTCTCTCTCTTTCTTATATCTTATATCTTTCTTCATCATAATTTTATAATTTTATAGAAAAAGAACCAAAATGGCTACATATATCCTTTCTGCTGCAACCAAATTGTTTTAAAATAAACCTGCCTCATATGTATATACAGGTCATTCAGTGTCATGTCACTCTAATCCACCCCTAGGGATTTATCGACAAGAACCTCGGTTCCCCTGCTTTAGAGTTGTGTTGTATCACTACACTAGGAAGTAGTACACATTAAAATATTCAGAATAATAGGTATTTATTTTCAGTGCTATTTTCATTAAATATTGGTATAATATATGCATGTCTGAGGTAATAAATTAAAAATAAACTCAAGATTTCAGTCCCATATTTGTGCTGCATATTTTTTTCTACCATTATACATAATTTTGAAGCAAACACACACAGTCTGTAATTCTGAATGCAGGTAGGAATATTATTTTAACACAGTCACTTTTTGTTTCACTATAATTTTGCTGAGAATGGTTATTGCATGATACACTTTTAATAGATGTTTTAGTTATACTATAGTTTTCTATTAAATCACACATACCGTAATTATAGGAAGATGGGCATGAAGATGTGCTTTGAGCCAAGGATGGCAAATATTGAATCAGAGTGATAGCTCATACCGCAGGATTATTGTCTGCCTGCACTAGAGCCCAGATCCAGCAAAGCCATTTCGGTGTGTGCTTAGCTTTAGACATGAGTCCTTTGTCACTTTGTCACCCATGGCCTTGAGTGTTTGCTGAATCAAGGACTAGCCAAATCTGCAGAACTGAATTCATAGACATCTTTAACTGTGTGTTATTTGAAAACAGGTTTGCTGGTTTCATGTTTTGTAAGATATTTTGTAATGACCTCCATAAGATTTTTCGTATCAGTGAAGCACCCATGAAAGTTTCTAACCTGGTTCATAAATACACTATGAAAAAATAAGCAGCTACAATGACTCTCTTCGACACATTTTGTTAAAAGTAACACCTGGTTTGAAAAGTTAATAAAGTAATTTTTTCCATGGTAAAATATATTTAAAAAAATAAACTCTTAATTTAATCATCTTCCATCAAACATATAAGCATGTTAAAGGGCGGGGCATACTTCAGGTATTTTCATTTATAAATGCAAGAGATTGAGTGAATCAATCTTTTTGCACTTACATGCTGGTGGTAGTAAGGCCCTTTCAGCTAAGTCTCCATCAAGTCCAACATCAGTGAGCTAAAGAAACAAACAAAAACAAATTTTGCTTGCATATAATTTTTTCAAAATCCTGAATTAAAAAAAAAATCCTCTCTGCTTAGAACTCTTATTTAACTGCTGCCATTAAAAAAGTATACCTCACCTCCATGTTGTTTTAACTTTAATCAGTAATTCTGAATGCAAAGGATTTAAACACTCACTAAAATTGCTGTGGAAAGCCATCAGACTCCTAGTCTTCATAAATTGTGCTAATTCCCATTTAAATCAGGAAGCTATTGTTTAGAGCTACAGCTAGTGGTTGTCTTAGTGTTAAAGGTCTATTTCCACCAGAATTTCTTTACTCTATTTCGCAAATAACTGACAGTGCTCATGATGTGATCTTGAAAAACCGTTTGGTGTTATCAGCAGAAGCTATAGTCTGTGCGAAAACTCTCCATGCTCATGCAGTGAGTTGCATTGCTGGGGGGACCGTGTTCTGCACTGTAGTGGTCTCAGGCCCAGCCACAGGGGCCAGCTGGGCAGCCCGAGGCCTTCAGTACTCCACCGAGCTCACAATCGCCATTGGCTCGTCAAACGTTGCCAACCTTATCTGCTTTGGGGTAGGGATGGAGAGAATCTCCCCGGTGTCAGTCGGTGAGTGAATCCCGTTGTCCATTATGTTTGAAACCTCCTCCTCATGGTCCTCGTACAGCGTGTTGATGTGCAGCAAAGGGTGGGCTGGGTTGCAGTTCAGTGCAGGTGTTGGCTCTGGCTTGCCCTGGTTCAAAGCCATACTGGTGGCAGCAGCAGTTGTGGCTATATGGTTGTGGTTACACGTGACAAAAGCTGCAGCAGCAGGCACAGTTCTGCATGTCTCAGATGAGTACAGGATCTCTTTTGCAGGATGAGGAGTGTCTAAAAGAAAACAAAACAGCCAGTTAAAGGACAGGTAGTCTTTCACCCTTCCAGTCCATCAGTCAGGAGTGTCCTGAACCAATAAAAGTCATTGGCAGGTTTGCCACTGATTTCAGTGGGATCAGAAGTGGACCCTGAGCTGAATTTTCATGGGACCCCTTGAGAAATCCAACAGGACTGTTTCAAAACAACAGGGCTGTACGTTCAGGGAAACAGGACAAACAACAAATGGGGTGGGTAAATCTGGCTGGTTTTTTATGCATGCTCATGCTTTCTTATGTGAATGATATTTTTGTAAAATGATGAAAAAAACCAACTGAAAACTATATTTTATTCCCCTCTACACTCCGGCCGGTGTTTTATAAATGTTATGATTTAATGTTTTGACAAGCATTATGACTATTGAAATCCACAGGATGGAATACAAAAGGCACTGGTACTTTCAATGGGAAAAACTAGTGGTTACACATCGTAAGCCACTTGTCTTCAGAAAGAACTCAGCAATTTGACATTAACTGATGTCTCTTTCCAGAAATTATAAGTCTACCTTACCTGATGGACTGCAATGTAGGTCTAACTCAAAAACAAAGCTGAATTTTTTTTAATGCAAATGGGGAGTCACAGAGCCCCAAAACTCCTGTAATTATTTCTTGCCCTTAAAATATTAAAGCACTAATTTAAATGAAGGTAATTGAGACCAGAAAACCCCAGCAATTTTGAGGAGTTGAAATCAGAGCAGGTAACTGGATAAGGAATGCTGCAGAATAGCTCACATGCACATTGGGGAGTTGGAGGGCTCTAAGGAGCATAGGGATTTGGAAGTGACAGAAACTTTATACCTCAAATCACTTCTTTGCTGGGCAGTGGGGTGACGGTAGATGTCAGTCTGTCGAAGCCCAGAGGGAGGTCTTAGCTTGTAATGAGATGAGAGCCATTGCTTTAAGTATGTACAGATTTTTCTGTAACTTCAACTGCATAGTGCTTCTTTCTTATATCAGTAGCTTACAAAAATAAACAAGAAGATATCTGTCTATCACTCTATCTACTGATCTATCACTTTTCTTAATGTTCAAATGGCTTTCCTCATCACTCTAACACCCAGCAATTACTGATATATATGAAACACTCCTTTGAGTTAAGACAGGGACAGGCTTTCCAGGAAACACATAGGAAACTGAGGCACAGAAAGAGCATCTCCTGAGAGGCCACACAGGAAGGGAATGGCAGAAATCCTGAATCCCTGACCAGCACCCACACTTCAGACCATCCATCCTCTGGTCCACATGAGACACAGGACAATTTAAAGCATCTCTTGTGTGAAGGACAATGTCAATGAGCTGAGTTGTGACTTCCGAGGTGATAAACATACGCCAACCTGTAAGAGTTGGTAGTCGAGAGATTTTTGTTCTATAGGCAGCTTTAAATGCCATTACTAGTGTTCCACATACTCCTAAGGGGCTATTACTGATCAGAGTACTGCTCATCTATTATGGAAGTTTCCATATGACTTGAAAATAAGGCATGTTTGAAACGTGCCAGGTGCTGGTAGAGAATGAAGGGTATCATAGAGGCCAAATGCTCCTCATTTCCTTGGCAAGGCATGACCACATTTGTAGTGGTCATGCTTACATTTAAAAAACTAACCACATCAACAGCCTGCAGCCTGTTTTGTACAGCTCTACTGTAATAATCCTTACCCTCCATATAGCTGTTAAAGAGAGGGAACCTCTATTTCTGAGACCTATAAGCCCTGAGATTAGCTATCCCAAAATCTAACAAGGCAGGTTAAATAATTCAGATAAACCTTGAGTTCCTGATGATTGCTATGCAAATTATGGTCTGTGGAGGTGGTATGGGCATTATGGCATACTGTACCTTTGAGAGAGGAGGTAACGTGTACTACAACGTTTTCTTCCTGGTTTAAAAATCCACCCTCTTGGCTTTTTGATGTAGGCATCGAGGGGATGGCTTGAACCTCTGGCTTGGGTTTTTTGCTACTAAGTATATATGGATGAACATCCAAGGAAAAGTGCCGTGTGTGCTTTTTTTCACTGCTTGTGCTTGGCATAGCACTTGACTCGGTTTTATGAGTGGACGATTGCTGTGAGGTTTTTGCAGCAGATTCTAACAAAGGAGCTATAAGGCTGTCTGTTGCTGTTTTTCTCCGCACAGGCTTCGGTTTATCAGGTTTATGGTTTTCAACCTTCATAATGGCTAACTGTTCCTTGAATGGCTGAGGAAGGGGATTGGTGGTTGGGATCCATTTCATCTTCTTCCTTGGTCTCTTAATGATGAGCTGTTCATTAGCATCAATGTCTGCTGGATCAACGCTTGGGTCTATTGTTTGGATCCCCGAATCACGCATAGTTGGAGTGGCATCATGATTGGACTGGGCCAACGCTGCAAGCAGCTGGCGTACCACGTTGTCGTACATCAGATCGCTCTCATTTGTAATAAAATCCAGACGGTTCAATGATTTTATGTGGTCCCTATTTTCATTACAAAACATGGCCAAAATATTGATATCACAAAACTGGGACTTCTGCCACTGTTTCTTGGTCTTTATTCCAACTTTGTTCAGTTTATCAAATATGAAGTTAGACTTGCGAAATATGAAGAGATGAATTAAGTTGATGAGGATTATCAAGTTCATGAAGCAGAGGAGAACAATATCTACACCAGCAATAATCCGCTGGAGCTGGACAGACGGCAGCTTACAGTTCACTCTGATGTGCAATTTGGAGCTGCTAGTTCTGTCTGGAGGCTCTCCTAGTGCACATGTAAATTCATTTTGCTTCTGTGTAGCATAGTAGGTAGATAAGTATGTGATTGGTATGATGCTTAAAAAGATGATGAACAGGTGTCTTGCAAGATAAAGCTTAGCCAAAAAGTTACTTCGCCCTCTTCTTTCCAGGTATTTCTCAAACAAGTTCTGTTCAGGGCTTTTTTCCTTCTCTGCATTCTCAATAATTTCCCTTTTTTCTCTCTCGGTGATCCCTGGGCCTTTAGACTGAATCTGTTTCTCTATTTTTGGTGCCCGCCCTTCAGCTGCACGGTGGTAGCAGTTATCAATCTCCTGAAGCAAAAAATTAAGCTCTGAAGTCAACCGGGTGGAGGCAAGAAATTCCCAGCCCAGAGCTGGAATGTACATTATCCCAGCAAAAGCCAGCAGTGCATAAGGTAGGAACTTATGCTCAAACAAGGAGGGCCAGTGGCTGGCATCAACTCCTGGCAAGGCATCTTTTAATTCTGTCCAACAATATCCTCTGGCATACAAGGCTTGATCGCGGGTGAAGTTGTGTGGTGTATAACAGTATATTGGCTCCTCTGTATAACAGAGAGAAAAGTCACTGCTGTGCATTTAACCTACAAAAGGAGCTCTGGAAAATAAACATTTCAAATTATATCAATTTTATTTTACCATATCTTTACATGACCATTAAGCCCTCCGTGTCTATCAGCCAGCTTGGCCTGCACACATCCTCACAAACCCTAAGGCAAAACTTTTTACCTGGAAGTTTTAGAATGAACCTGAGCTAAAAATATCAGCAAGAAATACATCTTTTGGTTTAATTACATCTCTGAAAACAGTATCCTAACCAACTGTGACCTGAACTCTGCAAAGCTAAAAGACCTGATATTCACTACACGGTCAGTAGCTAAGGATGTTCCATGCAAATGCTGAAATTTAGATGAAATTTAAGGTTCATCCTAGCTGAATATTCTTCTAAATAGGAAAAAGTTAAATTTAGCTGAAAGCAATGTTTTTAATACTTACTAACAAAGTCAACTCATTTGATATGGTAAAAAAAAAAAAAGAAATTTACAACAAAGATTTAGTCAGCTGTATCCCTCTTAGGTAACATTCTTGAATTAAAGTGTGATTGATCAGGACAGAATCTGGTGTGTTACCAATTTCTTGCTCTGAAAATTTAATTGTACATTAGAAACTGTAACATTTTTTTTTTTACACAACATGTAATTAAACAGTGGAACTCACTGTCATACATTATTATAGAAGAAACAAATACTGTGGATCAAGAAAGCAGACAAAGTAATGGGAGAAAATGTATAGCAAGGATTATTAAATACCCAGCGATGCAATTTTTCCCTCAGGAAATGTTTAATCACAGGCTGCTGGAGGGGGGAAGGGTTTATCAAAGGAAATTACACTGTATGCTTGTTTATTTTACCCTTCTTGCTAAGTATTTGTTTTTTACCATCATCAGCAGGATGTTGGGATAAAAGGACTTTTGTCTTGATCTGGTAGATAAATTATGTTCTTACACAATCAGATTTTTCTAGCAATATATGAAAGAAAGATAGAAAACCTTGTGAAAGCTAGAGCATCATTAATTGCCCAAAGAACAATGACCATTATGACCCATTCAAAGAGGAAGACCATGTTTTCATGTTTTGACTGGTAGAACAAAGGGAATATATTTTACACTGTTCTGGTACACCTTTAAAAAAACCTCCCAAAATGAGACCCATAGGAAGAAGGCACGTTCTCCTGACTTGAAAATCACTCAAGAACACCAAGCCTGTTCCAGTTCTGAATGCAGTCTACAGTCCAGATCAAGAACAGTTTACTGGAAGGGAGTGGTAGCACTGTTCTCTTAATAATAAAAATAATAAAAAGAAATAATAAAGTATCATGTTGTTTGATAACAATAAATAGCATATTAAAAATTAATAGGCAAGCAAAAATCCTAATCTTTCTGGCTTAACAGATGACTCCCTATTGGACCAGTTACTTTTCACGTGTGAGCAAATCAAAAGCTATTTCTTTGGTGTGGAGGTATAAACCTCTTCTGTGACTTACAGAGATCAACATACTGATAACTGCACAAAAATTGTGGGATTTTTTTTTTAAGTGACTCAGTGAGAATTCTTTTCTAAAAATACTACCAATTTAAACAGAGTTGATAGAATAAATGCTGCTACCCAAGACAGCATGTACACTGAATAAGCCCTGCAAATTCTTTAATGTCACTTCTAAAGACTATTTTAAAATGAGCTAAGTTCAATCTTAGAGGAGAGCTTAAAGCACTCTAAAGTTACACAGCTTCTCATTTAGACTATCTTGTGTACTCACAGACACGTGTTACAAGAAAAATGCTCACTGAGTCCCCTGGTTTCAGTAATTTACATGCCCTCTGAACCCTACCCATGAAGGGATGCATACAAAAAATTTCATCTCCTACTATCAAAGACTTATTCTGGTTTCCCAGGAGATGAAATAGATTCCTATGTGAAAATGTTCCCATGGGGAAATAAAAAAGGTAAAGCAGCATGCTACGTTTCTCATAAGCAGAATTTTTAAAATTGGGTGTCCCTAAGCTCAGTAGAACTTGCCAATATGAAACAGAGTTTCCTGTGGCATACATGGATTGATTTCTCCTCGGTCTCAACATCACAAATACTTTGGAAAACAGCAACGAGCATTCATACAAGTCATTCATAAGGATTATTTTTTGATTCATGTATCAGTTGCTATTGTCAAATAAACTGAACAGTTCTTCCAGTTCTGTTCACTGAGACCTGAAAGCTAAAGTGACTTTTGCTAAAATTGTATATTTATACAACAATTCAATATATATTTATTTTATTAATAAAAAAGGAAAAAAGTTAAAATGTCTTAACATTTACATTTACATTGGACAGATACACTAAGAGACTAAGGCTGCACCCTATCCACTGCCACTGCTTCAGAGAAAAAAGTCTGAAGAGCTTCACAACTCCAGCTTGAACTGACAAACTGCATTACAGGCTACTAAATGGGGCTGTCCCAACCAGTAGAGATAGCAAACGTCATTTTACAGGAGTTTGTTTCCTTTTCCTATGTTAAGCATGTTTTTATCTGATCCCATTGCATGTTAAGTTGTGAAAGATCTCTAATTTATTGGGTCAGTTGAGCATGGTGTCCCATTCTGTAACTTGTTGATACTAGTCTAGAATTTTCCTTGCATATTTGTAAAATTGACATGATTTTCACTGTACTCCAGTAAATCCCAAGACCCTTCAGATGAAACTCAAATCCTCTGTGGAGTCAGGGGGACTTCTGGTAACTGATCAAAGTGGTAACAGTGGGGTTACAATTTAATTTTATTCAAGTGTTTTTTTTCTAATATAGAATCATAGAATGGTTTAAGTTGGAAGGGACTTTATAGATCATCTAGTCCCAAGGGACACCTTCCACTAGACCAGGCTGCTCCAAGCCCCATCCAGCCAGCCTTGTGAACATTTCCAGGGATGTGGCAGCCACAACCTTTCTTGGCAATATCTTGGAGCCGTATGCACTGTCAGAGAATGCCACTAATTTTGGTAAAGTTATTCCACAGGGACATTTAGCTTAACTCTCTCAGTATAGGACTTGATTCACAAAGCATAGCATTAGCTTCAGGAAGCTCTCCTAGAATATGGTCCAGAAAATGGCAGAGAGGAATTCCCTTCCAAACTGATTCAAAGCAAAAGACCCATTTAGGTGTTGCCTGGAGGAAGAGCCTGTCTCCCTCTTCAGCAGATCAATTTTTTTTTTTTTAACAGTGTTCTCCTAATAGGTAAGTAGTATTAAAAAGAAAAGGCTGCAAGACTGTTAAAATCATAGCTCTGACTAGGATGCACTATTAAAAAATGTATTTGTTTTTAACTCTATATCATAAATATAGAAAGTTTCAACTGATACTCTTATTTCACACTGAAAATCCTCAAGCAGTTTAGGAAGCTTCTTTTTCATATAACCATTCCAGTCACCATGAAACACAGCTTTTTCCTGAGACTCTGCAGTTGAATTGCATATGGCATAGCTCTTCAATTGTGTAGGAAAATACAGCAGAGTAAGGTGCTGTAAAGAAAATTTTTTAAAAGCTTAGGGAGCATTATTATGGCTGAGTGGATTGGTCATCCTCTCAATGTTGTTTAGTCTAAAGCCTATAAAAATAATCTATTTCTCTGCTCCTTGAGAGCTACATTCCTGTGAGCTCAAGGGACAGAAATTTCTATTAAATAATCCAGAAAGCAAGGTCATCACCTCCAAAAAAATATTTTGCCAGTTCCAAACAACTAGGAAAAGGTGGTTAAGGGTGGATATAAAGCTGTGATTTGCCCATATGTGCTTTTTTAGCAAAGGCAAAATAAAGATAACTAAGCTGCCATGTTATTGGTGGATGGAACACTAAACTTTTCTGCAGTAAATGCGATGGCTTACTGCAAAATTTTTAGTTCTGATGTTTAGAGTAAAGTCTCAGTAAGTTCAAGTCTGAAAGTTCACCCACAGGAATGTGTTAACTGCATGCCAGAATATGAAGTTCAACACAGTTTCAGAAAAAAATCAGTAGGAATACCCAAGAACAAGTCCTGTCTTCAGTAATACTTTCCTACAGGCACCATCATTCTCAGGAAATGTCCCTTTGAATAATTAAGTATATTAATTATTAACGAAGTATATTACACTTTTATCTTATACTGACTTGAGCATAAAGTGCACACTAAGATGATCAGTTTCCCTTTTTTCAATTTGTTGGTTGTACATAAATACATTTTATCCTGCTCATTATGCACATAAGTAGCTTTCAAATATCTGCAAAACTAGTCTCTAGGACAAGGTATGAAATATCTCTCACTGAATTCTTTCAGACATGCAATCAAGATGAAATAATTGATACAGAATTACTTAGTTGTGTAATATAACTGATTATGTTATGCCACTTGAAAAATTAAAGTCCCTTGGCAGCTAAGTGTTTTCACATCCCATAAGCGCTACTTAAATGAGAAAAAATTACTAACAGGAGGTACAAAGGGCATACTTCAAGAGAAGGAAAATGCATGGCTGTGAAAAGACAGGCAAGGTAGGGAGAGGGACAAAGGAAGGGGCTGTGCTCGAAAAACTCTTTCTAAAGAATCTAAACAGACAGTATGAAAAGATGGAGGAAAGGCAAATTATGGAAGCTAGGAGCTGCCAAGTCTGCTGCCTTTTAGAAAAGTCTCTGAGAAATGCTTATGGGCTTCCTGCAGGTACAGGCTCCCACTCCTACTGTTGCCAATCCAAGGTCTGCCACCTCCTTTCAGTGGTTCCCCAACTATTATACTCTAATACACCTTCAACTGCCCTCTTCGAGAGGCCCTGAATTAAATACCAGCTGTCAGGCTGCAATAGCTAGGCATGAAAATATGTTTGATAAAAAATATCCTGCTAAATTTCAAACTGAAGTTACAATACCACAAGCTCTGAATTCCTCAAGAAAAGGGATGGGGTTGGGGTTGAAACTCCTGTGAAACTTCCCACTACAAAAATGAAACTCAGATCTGGAAATGGAGTCAGCAATGGAAAAATCTGATAACTGCTATTCTAGACCATTCCCTGAAGTTATACCCCAGTGTAGAATGATGGAAATGCTGCTGGGAACCTCAGAAGTTACTCAGTCCCACATCCTATTCGAAGCAGGATCTAGACTGATTTCAGACTAGCTTGATTAAGGCTTTGTCAGTCTGAAAACCTTCAAAGATGGAAGATGCCTGTGCATCCTGTTCTGATGCTTGATTGTCCTCAACGTGAACTTCCTTTTTCTTTAAGTCATGTCTAGCAAGAATGGCTGATTCATGCAAGAATAATTTTTTTCACTTTTGAGAAATGTCCATTTCCAAAAATGAAAGCAATGGCCAGTTGCATTAGGAACACATCAGGTAAAATATGGCTAGAAGGCTATAATTGATATACACTGAGCTCAGGCCTCAGTACTGCACCTCAATCGAAGGAAGAGATACCAGCAGCGCAGTTTAACAAGGAAGCCGTGTGTGTTGTGTGTGAGTGTGTGTGCACTTGTGTGTGTATATTTGCCTATCCATAACATGAATCACCTTGCAAAAAATGTGACCTGGGTCATGGTACACTGAAATGAAGCTATCAAGAAAATATGAAGTCGTAGATACGTATCATTCTCCATTGGCTATGCAAGTTTTTACAGGTCTTCCCAGGAAAGTGAGTGAATTGCACCTAACACATTCACTAGCCCCTTAAAAACAAAGACAACAATGGCAATCTCTCAGCATTCAACAGTAGAAAAAGTAAGACCTGCTCCTAAAAAGACTGAAGTGATTTCAAGAATTGGGCATTTCCCTTGAAGCCAGTGGGATTACTCACAGTGTATAAAATCTGGTATGTGCATCTCTCTTTGGCAAACTGATGCTGTAGTGGGGTCAATTTCAAGCTCTAAAATATTATTATGAGCAAAAGTTGTTTAAATAAATAAGGAAAACAAATTTAGCTGCTTTGGTAGGCATTACAAAGTAAGAAAAGAAAATATTAGTAATAAACAATATACACCCCTATGTAACAGGGCAAATGACTTTTTACACCTGCTGCATTCCCAGCGGAATGAAGTATAGTTACCCAAAGCAATATATAAACCATAGTAACAAATTGTGCATGTCTCCTGTGGCCTCCAGCTTTTAGAATTTACTCTGGAAAAAGAAATCACACCTCATTAATCTTCCAGCTGAATTGCATGATTTCAGGATTCCAGTGCAGTAAATCAGTAATGTAGAAGAAACAGTACAATTTTTTAACAGCAGACAGAAAAAAAGAGTCAGTTTTCAGAAAATGTAATTCAAATATGAAAAAAATATGAAAATTCTCGTGCTTGCTGCACCAAGGCAAAGGTAAGTATGCCTCTTGTGCAAAAAATTCTTCAAGGATCTAGAAGTAAATACTCAGCCTGACCACTGCAGCCCTACATGGGTATAGGCAGCAGAACTGGTGCTTAAATGCTGCTGAATGGGCTGCATCTCCCAGCCCCATGACAAGTGCCTAAATCCTCATACTGGAGACTCAAGCTAAGTATCAGGTAAGTATATTGATAAGTATACTTACTGAGTTAAATACACTATAGACTCACCCTAGCCTAGTGCTTCCTAGCAACTGGCACCTGCTTCTTGAAGAGGGCTGCTAAATATCCTCATACCTGAGCCCAACCTGCCTATGAAGAAAAGACAGCAATCCAGTCAAGATCTCTGAAGCACTCCTTGTACTCTCCACTTGTCTCTAAGGAGAAATTCAACATTTAGGTAGAATGTCCGAATCTCCCTGCCCATTATTGCCAGTGCACAGGTTTCTAATGAACAAAATAATTTAGAAACTGCCTGAATTCAGCAATAAATGCCAGTATTTGACAAGGGTATTCCTTATCATACTGCTGTCCTTACTTTGTGTCACATACGTGTAAGCAATCTTATACGCATGCCTCATTCATATTGGGTACTAAAAGGATTGCACAAGAAAGCAGCTAGCAAACTGTTTATTTTAAGAAACAGAAATAAT